GCCTGCGCGCAGCTTGTCCGCTCGCCTCCCGCGCAGCGCCTAGCTGGGAGAGCGGAGGCGGCGTCTGCAGCGAGAGCGCGAATCCGAGGGCTGGGAGGGAAGAAAGCGGAGTCGGGTGGGCTGGAGGGTGCGGGGAGAGAGGGGAGGGCGCGAGGAAAAGGAAAGGGAGGGAAGGGCAATGAGAGGCAGGCTGGGAAAGAAGAGGTGGGCGACTGGGGGAGGGGGGGCGGATGTCGTGGAGGCGAGGGGAGGGGAGGGCTGGCGGTGGGTGTCGGGTGGGCTAACCTATGGAGGGAAGCGATTAATGATGGTGAGCGGACCGGGCGGCGGCGGGGGGCGGGGGGAGACACACACCAGAGCCCGGAGACCATCGGCTGTCACGTCGCAAACACCTTTCCTTGTGCAGTTTACAAACCCTAGCGATTCAATTTCGAAACGCCTCAGGCCTCCTCAATTTCGGTTCTCCCAGCAGTGGTAGAGCACATTCACAGTTCTTTGGACCAGTTAGCTTGAGGAGGGAACAAATGGCTTTTTCTCCCCTCCCTGACCGCCGACGTCGACCCAGTAGGAAACATCGCTTAAAAGCACCGGCTCATGAAAAGCAACCAGCAGGTCGACAAGATTCTGGTCTTGGTATAACATTAAAGCCCGAATCACAGAAAGCATCGTTAGTCTTTAAGTAATGTTACCAAATTTTTCCGTTGACGCTGACGCCCCCAGTAGGTATCTTCGTGATCAGTTTGTCTCTGACTTGCCTTGTTCCCCTAGAACCTCCACCTCTTAGGAAATTGGTTCCACACTAACATTAACGTGTGAAGGCAAATTCGCTCAAGCTTCCACTCAGACTCTCAAGTGACTTAATTCATTTGGAAGAATTTCGGTTTGGTTTTGCATGGGGAGGGGAGGGTGGTGAAAAGCAGCTGAAAAACCATTCATATCACGTATTCAAAATACTGAAATGTTAGGAGTTACAAAGCCACGGTAGGCACCCTTTAGAGCTGACCCAGCAGTGGATGGTGTGTGTTTGTGTCTCACTGCAAAATTCTTAGATTATTGGCACTGACTGAATTTCATTTCACTTGGGCTCCAGTTTTTGGTTTCCGTTTTTGTTTTTGTTTTACTATGCAGAGGAAGTTGGGCTATGACACATAAAATCAAATAATTTTAAAACTAAAAGGAAGCTTATGATTTATCGTATACAACACCCTTACATTCAGATAGGAGAGCACCTGGGGTATGGAGTGGAATTAGGGAGGAGTTAGTTTGGAAGATGGCAAATCATTTGGGAAAGGATTTAAATTATACATAAAAAGGGAGCATACACTGAGTCTGGGAGCTGGAGAACACCACAGGCAAGATATCTGCTCCTTGTTTCTCCTAGCGTATCATGACCAGCACAAATAAACCGAAGGTGAATCTATATTCTCTCATCTGTTTATCCCAGTGCTTCTTAAATTCAGGGTACATACAAGTTACTTGGAGATTCTATTTTTAAAAAAAAGGCAGATTCTGATTCAGTACTTCTGGAATGGAACCCAAGATTCTGCCTTTCTAATAAGTTCTGGGATGATGCCAGTGATGCTGGTCAGCGGACTGCAAATTCAGTTGGGAAGATCCATCCTTCCCGATGACTCTGCTACGTGGAGAAAAACCTGAACCTGAAGATGACAGTGTTTACTCTTCTGGTGGCTTTCATGAGCTCCGGCAACCTGTTGCCTTGATTGTCCACCAGGAGTGGAAGAGAGAGTAATGGATTCTATGTCTGTAATCGTTCTATTCCTTTTCACTTCCTTGTTTCCTATCTACCATTATCCCTCTCCTGGCTTTACTTTATTTTATGTCTAACCCAACCCTACTGAGCATCACTTAACCACCCTCTGCCAGTGCTGTCAACTTCCTGAACTCTTGTCTTTCAATCCCACTCTGCTTATAAACTTCTAACCTTGGGTTGATAATAGCCTGGCTCTGAGCTCCGACACCAGTGTATCTGAGCACTATTGGAGAAAACGACACAATCATTTGAATTACTTTTCGGAAATACCTTTATACATTTCTGGTCAACTTCCTCTCCTGTCTTCAAACCATCTCTTTTTAGGCTGTCTACACTAGCTTGTCTTTCTCTTTTAGCAGATTATCAGTACATAATTTTATCTTCATATTCATATTCACAGAGATAATTTTGATTTTTAGGTGCACATTCTTTCAACTCTTCATTCCCAAGTTCATCATCTCTATCCGGTCCTAATTCAGTTATTACATCTGAAGTGCTTGGAACAATGCCTGGCATGTAGTAAGCATTATTATTGTTATTACGATGTCATTAGAGGACATCAAAAGCAAATCCCTCTAGTTATGTTTTAGTTCCCATTCCTTCTTTTCTCTTCAGGAAATTAGTTCTATCAAAATAAAATCTCTGTCAGTCTCTCTGATTCTGTTCTCTCTCCCCTGAAACATATAAATATGCTTAGGTCTTATTAGTTTTATTTTTTCTTCCAATTTTATTGAGATATGTTTGATGCAGCAATTTTAAGTTTAAGGTGTACAGCATAATTATTTAACTTAGATATATCATGAAATGATATCTACAGTAAGTTTAGTGACCATCCATCACCTCATATAGATACAAAATTAAAGAAATAGGAAAAAAAGTTTCCCTGTAATGAGAACTCTTAGGATTTACTCTCTTAACAACTTTCATACATTAACATACAGCAGTGTTAATTATATTTTTCAGGTGTACATCACATCCCTAGTACCTTATTTATAATGGGAAGTTTGTACCTTTTGACTACCTTTGTCCAATTCTCCCTCCCCCAACCTCTGCCTCTGATAACCATAAATCTAGTCTCTTTGTCTATGGGTTGGTTGGTTGGTTTGTTTTTGAAGTACAATTGACCAACACTATGTTAGTCCCAAGTGTACAATATAGTGATTCAGTATTTCTATACATTTCAAAATGATCACCATCTGTCACCAAAGACATTACATTATTATTGACTATATTCCCCACACTGTACGTTTCATACCTGTGACATTTATTTTATAACTGGGAGTTTGTACCTCTTAATTTCTTCTATTTCCCTCATCTCCCCATTCCCCTCCCTCTGACAACCACCTGTTTGTTCTCTATATCAATGACTCTATGCTTTGTTATGTTTGTTCATTATTTTAGATTCTGCATGTAAGTGAAATCATACAGTCTTTGTCTTTGTCTGTCTTATTTCACTTAGCATAATACCCTCCAGGTCCACCCATGTTGTTGCAAATGGCAAGATTTCATTCTTTTTTATGGCTGAGCAATATTCCTGTGTGTGTGTGTGTGTGTGTGTATCACAACTTCTTTATGAAATCATCTATCGATGAGAACTTAGGTTGCTTTCATATCTTGACTATTGTAAATAATGCTGTAATGAACATAGGGGTGCATATATATTTTTTGAATTAGTATTTTCGTTTTCTTTGGATAAATACCCAGGAATGGAATTGCTGGATCATAGAGTAGTTCTATTTTTAGTTTTTTGAGGAACTGTTTCCCATAGTGGTTGCACCAATTTACATTCCTACCAGCAATACATGAGGGTTCCCTTTTCTCCACATCCTCACCAACACTTGTTAGTTGTCTTTTTGATAATAGCCATTCTGATAGATGTGAGGTGATGTCTCATTGTGGTTTTGATTTGCCTTAGATCTTATTAAAATAAAAAGAAAAATATTTCCTGCAACTATCACCTGTAGCTCTTGGCCTCCCATCTCACTCAGGGTTCTTAAAGGTTTGGCTTTTTAAACTTAAAGTAATGCAAACTTTTATTAAGGACAAGACCATATTATAATCATTTGACAATCACCCTTAACTGAAATATTTAATATCAGTATTTTAGAAAACCTTTTAGATTTGCTTAAGCTCCCCTTAGTTTTTTTCTGTTTTATTTACTGGAGGCAAAAACTGTCCTCTCAACACATAGTAACCACTCACATATTGCCTCATTTTGAATACAGGAAGAAAGAATCATGCTGTTTGGTGTGGGAATTGATTTGTTTTCTAAAATTAATTTCAATAAATTATACTGGTCTCAATGTACCACCCTCACACTACTGGTTTTAAAATAAGCTTTATTTCCTCTTCTTCTTAAAAAAAAACTATATAATTGGCTCTTAGAAACTAAAATTTATTCCATTCACTTGGTTTAAAGCTTTTTCTCAAACTTGTTAGTTTTACCTCCTAGTACTTTATATGTAATAGGCATTCAATAAATATTTGTTTTTATTTACTTGAAAATAAGTCAGATTTTAAAGATTACAGTCATAAAACCTCACCTTTTCCTTGATGCTTCAAAGCTTAGAAAGAAAACATAATGCCAGCAACTCTGTGGCTGCCAGCTGTGTTTCCAAGGAAACAGAGAATAGATCATCAAAAACAAAATAAGGATTTTCAACCTGATTACCCTTTTTTCATCAGTTCAGTCTCCATTGCTGCAAAATGAAAGGCAATATAACCTCAGCTTTGCAATCCAGATTTTTAAT